TCCTAGCTCAAGTTATTCATTTTACAATATTGCAAACATTCAAAAAATACTTATCTAGCTACATTTTAATCACCTTGAAAAATACAGAAACAGTGCATTTCATATTTTTATAAAATACTACACTTCATGGGGAATCCAACAAAATTTGGTTTACCAAAATTGGACACTCCTAGCTCTAGATATGATTTTTCAAAGTTAGCACAAAATTCTAGAAAAGAAATAAAACAAAACCCTAACTGCAGTCGCTGACGCATGGGACCAAAGGGTCAGCGGATCCACATGCCAGCCGAACGGAGACAGGGGAGCAGGTTTGACCGGCGCAAGCTCATCGACGGTGAGCTTTCCGGTGAAACTGACCCCACCATCGTGCTCCTCTCATTCATCGACGTCGACTAGTATAGGTGGTGGCAGCGCGGTCGCACCGGAGAGGCTCGTCGCCGGCCATGGTAGCACGGCGGCATTGCGCGGAGGTGCGATGATCGTTGCTAGCCATGGCAATGGCCCTACGAGAAGCGCAAGGGCTCCGTGGTGACCATGCGAACCTACCGAGGCTACATAGGTTAGGTGGGAAACGCCGACGGGGTTCGTCCACGTGCGCAGTGGTGTGGCGGCAAGAGCGCGGCGGCGCTGGCCATCGTGTTCAATGCCGACGAGGCTACGATTCGTTGTAGGGTCACACCTGAAGCTAGGCTACACCCGTATCTAGCGCTAATGCGAAGAAGAGAGAAGAAGGAGCAAGGGAGTCGAGCAGCGGACGAGCTCATCGTGAAGGTGGCCATGGAGAACGTGATTTTGGCGAGGACAAGAATGGTGAATTCACCCTCACCGTGGCTTGCCTGGCCCTGCTACTACGTCGAGGAGGTAGAGAGGAAGAAGACAAAACTGATGGTTAGCTAGAAGCGGCAATGGTGTGGCGGCGAGGGAACAAGGCGACGGCGGAGCAGAGCGGTGGCACGGTGGTGAGAGCGCTTTCGCTGCGCGCGCGAGAGGGAGCAGCAGAGAGGGAGAGAGTGCTATTGCAAGAGTGAAATGAGCAGCGCGGCTTCTCCATTAACGCACGCCACACTGCCGCGACGGGGACCCGACGCCGGCTAGCGACGGCCACGCGGCGGCCATGTTCTATGCCCGGTAGGCCACGATGGCTAGGCCGAGATGGCCATCAGGGCACCATTCGTTTGTCTGACAGCACCAAAACAACCCCTCCAAACTCCTAAACCACGGCAATTTAGCAAAAACTACATTAATAAAAGTTGTAGATCTATGCAAGGGCTACAATATTGCTTTATAAACTATCTCCTAATTCGCAATGGTTAGGAAGTTAAATCATCTCAAAGTCAGGCACATTGAAACGGTAAAATCAATTTGACTTAGAAAAATTTCTAAGTTCCAAAAATAGTACAATGTTGATACTTGAGAGCCCTATTTGACCATGTTAGGCACAGAATTAGACCTTCACCCAAAAATAAAAGTTGTTGCTCTAATCAGGTACTACAACTTTGCTTAAGGGTGCACTACCATACAAACACTCTATGCTATAGTTCAATTTAGGTCAAACATACAACTTGAAAATGGTAGGTTACACTATAACCATGACTTAGAGACCAAACTAGCCTTAGTCATGAATACCAAAGTTGTTCCATGTGATATTCTAAACATGTTTAAGGTACTCCTAAGGTTCCACAAACATTTTAGACATTGGTTACATGTAAACCCTAGCATATGTAAAGCTTTTAGTGACAACACATGCAATATAAGCAAACATAGAGATAATATTTGAGATGTTCATGCTCATGAATGATCAATGATGCTTGTGCTCATGCAATGCCAAGGCTAAATGCATGCTTAACACCTAAGGTGTTACAAATAGTGTGTCCATATATTTATTCACGTATAAAAGTTGAGATGCAAATTCAAACAAGCAAAATTCATATACAAATTGACCTTAAAATACATGGTAATCATAATTCTAACTAACCAATTAACCTTAACATTGGCAATCCTAATCCTAATCCTTCACTCCAACGTTCTAACGAACTCATATTTTCCTCCATACCCTAACTACTCATTAAAATCCTTCGATCCACCGTGGAGGCCGAGGAGGAGCTTCATTACCTTGATAAGGCCGAGGAGGAGCTTCGGGGAAGGTAGGGAGGGGGCCGGCAAGGGAGGGAAAGTCGGCGGCCAGCCGTGGGGGAGCCGGGAGGCAATGGTGCGGGCGTCGCGAGCGGCCTCACCTCGAGTCGGGTAGACAGACAGAGGGAGGGAGCCAGCGCCGTAGCGGGTAAGTAAAGCCTCGCGGCGCCATGATGCATGGCGCGGCAGCGTGAATTAGCCGCGCTGTGCAAACAGGCGCGTCCAAAAATGTTAGTTTTGAAAAAAAAACAATGTTAGCATTAAAAATAGTTTAAAAAAGTGTTAAAAATAAAAAAAATCGGGAGGTTCGGGCGCACGGTGCACATGACACGACATGTCCATCTTCCTAACCTAGAATAGAATCTCCGCTAGGGCTTTAGCATCGGCCACAAATTAACCACAACACCACCTGCTCCCGCACCTCTCGGACATCAGGGACACAACCATAAAAAACATAGCGGTTCTTATGCTACCAAATCTTCCAAGCTGTTAGGGTTACAATAGAATTAACGTCCTTGCGCTTTGTGACCAATCTTGGAATACATCGAAGTCAGGCTTCAGGGCCAAGTCCTGCAGCCCTAACCTGCCAAGCACTGATGGCTGCTCTAACGTGGCTTGGCTTGGCTTCTTCGGCTTGACCCAAACCTGTTGTGCTGTGCTTGTGTACACTGTTGTTTCCTACTCCTCCCGTCTCATAAAGAGTATGATTCTCACTCTAAAAAAGTTAAATGCTTGCAACTTTGATCAAATATATATACAAGGGAATATTAACATTTATGTTATATAATACTCAAATTGTAAGACGTTTGACCACTCGTCTTATTCAAAAAATTTATGCAAATATAGTCAAATTTAAGTCATTCTTGAAGAATTTTTATTAATAAATCAAACCACGACAAAAGAAGTGATATTTTACATAAATTTTTGAATAAGACAAGTGGTCAAACTTGGTGTCAAAAAAGTCAAACGTCTTACAATTTGAGATGGATTGAGTAAGTATTATTAGATTAACATTGAACATATTTTTATAATAAATCTATTAGAAGATATAAATGTTGCTTGTGGTTTTATACAAAGCTATCAGTATATAAATCCTATACGACACTCTTTTAGGACAAGCCCGTAGGTAACGTGTAGTAAGCATTTGGGCATGGCCAATTGGCCATGGATGATGGAGTACGACGAGTAATCACCAACCAACACGCGTGAGATGCTCATGTCACAGTCGATAGTCGTCGATAATACGGATGTGATGGATGAACACACCGACATCGACCGATCTAGGCAGAGAGCGAGGCAAACAGTGGTGGAAAGGAGTTAAGGAGTCTAGTCAAGGTGGATACAGGGGGTGTTTGGTTACAGGGACTAATTTTTAGTCGCACTTGTCACATCGGCAGAGATGGAGACTAATTTACGAGACGAATCTATTGAGCCTAATCAATTGCATGATTTGACAATGTGGTGCAGTGGTGATGGATTAATTAGGAGTCTCTATATGTGTAGTTAGTTTTATAATTAACTCAGTTTAATCCTCCTAATTAACATCCGATATGCATAGGTTCGAACCAAACACCCCCACAGTTTCGGGAGCTGCCATGCCAATGCTGATACTGATTGGACAGGTCCTAACAGAAGAGAGTGACCGATGCTGTTTGTTTTTGGGGAGCAGTGCGCTACCCTTTCTGCTGCTTCAGGTGATAGCAAGCCTCTACAGTCACGTTCAAAACCAGCCCTGCAGTGCAGTCTCCTGCAGTCCTGCTCGATTCGATTTGAGCGGTTGAGCCCCACGTTTGACCACACCACGCGCACTTCCCATTTGAAGAAACCTGAATGAATATCTGCTGGTGCCGCTTGGAGTAATGGAGCATCAGACTACTGCATCTCTGCCATCTCATGCGTTTGGAAGGTTAGGAAATTTGCAGTTTAAAACTATGCCAATTTAGCTGACTCCAAAATTTAGATGCGAGTTTAGTTTAGTCTAGTTTCCCTTGCAAACCAAAAGGAAGACGAAGCCTAGTTTTAAGATAGAACTTCACTCCAGAAATGTAACACCTGACGACTGATCAGTGATCATCAGTCCAATTTGCGCGGTAATCAGCTCCGTGGCAATCCAACCCCACGGGAGCATCATTTTTCCGGACCCACCTGACAGCAACAGGCCCGCATTTACTCGTACAAATACTGCTACGAGCCATTCTCTGGGGCAGCATCAGTACCTTATCCTCCCCCGATACGGGGTACCATGCCAAAATTGCCACGAAAATGACTTGGCTGACGTACACAAAAGTTTCAAGAAAACATACTAGTATAAGAACACATATTGCTTTCAGTGAGAACTGAAGACAAAAGTTCCAGTGAGAAGCTTACAGCATAATAAAATTAGAAATCCGCATTTCAAATCGATCAGCATGCTTCAACTCATATCACAGAGATTAAAGGTAAAAAGACAGCAGCTGGTCCCAACACCAGTGACATAAAGCTTGAAGCGTGCACTTGCAATCGAAGGCTGAAGATTCTCCTGCAATCCATTTCAATTTAACCTTTTTTTTTGTTTCAACAGCCTGCACAGTATATTACCTGGATCATAAGTGCTCATTACAGGTAAATCTATTTTTACACCATGGCCCTTAAATACTAGTATTTTACACGTATAAATGTATTCCATCTTTACAGGATTTCTTTACCGCTATCACCCCCGCCCCGCTAAATTTACATAACATTTACGCTATATACCTCCTCCCCTTCTGTACCCCAATTGCAACTACAGCTACAGTCCACGCCTGGAAATTCAGTCCAGGCGTGTTATTCGTCCTGGCACTACAAATGACAAATCTTTTCCCCGCGTTTTCCAGTGGGTGAGCTGAAATTCAGGCCACGAAATCATGCATCAGAGGTGACGGCTCAAATCGCTGCCGTTGTTGTTGATCTATTTGGCTCGCCGAATCATACTCTGAGGACGTGGAGGCGACGTTGAGAGGAGCTGTGGCGTTGTAGATGTCTTGGTCTCTGACGCCGGGGAAGCCTGGCTGGGTGTTTGGTGGGACTGAGAGGCTGTTCTCGGCGTGTTGCAAACCCAGCGTCAGTGAGATGTTGTTGTTCCCGTACCTCCCAAACTCTGCCAGGTGGTATGCCATGAACCGCGCGCTCTCATCCGAGTGATGAGTGACGGCATCATGGAGGAGACCGCTGCCATCGGTTTCACCCGCTCTCTGGGCCTTCAGCATCAGGCTCATGAAGCTGTCATTGGGGTTGGCCTCGTTGTGGAAGCCGCCGGCTGGCCCTCCACTAAAGCTCATCATTCCACCAACGTTGGCTTTGGATTCGTCAAGCTGGCTGGTTTGGCAAACCTGGCTTGTCGAGGTCTTCAAGTCCTCCTTTTCTTCCGAAGATGGTGCTTTGTCCTTGTTTCGCTGCCCATTGTCAGAGGAAGAGTTGGAGTCTAGCTCTGCCTCACCAATCTCTTCTTTGTACATGTCTTCGATCATTGGCTTCCACAGCCGGACACGGGCATTGATAAACCAATTTGAAATCTAGAAGAGAACAGCACATATGAATTTCAGTAAATATCTTTTCCATTATTCGATACAGAATACAAACTACTAAAAGGACAGTAGGCCATCAGATCAAATACCAACAGAATTAGCGTGTTTTGTCCTGGAAAAGAGCAACTGCAGAGTTTATTTTAAAGTTTTTGTCGATGGAACAAAATTTATGATGTAAAGACTAGTTAAGATTTGTACGTATATATATTACACATGCAGATAAGCAACAGCCCTGCACCATGTAGAATATGTTTGCAGCACAATAATATACTAAACAACCTAAATTAGTTCTTTTTAAACAACTTAAATTAGTTCTTTCAAAACATACCCATTGATTTTAATATTACTAAGGCATGCCAATGATTTGCAATATTGATGCGGTAGCTAGTCTCCCTACTAGCTAATAAGAGAAAACATATCTTAAGCAAATAGAAAATACCTGACTTCTTGTTAACCCAGTTTGTCTTGATAACATTATCTTTTCAGAATCTTTTGGATACCTAAGAGTGTCAGAGTGTCATGAGAACAAATGAAAAAAGGGGTGAGTGAACATATCTCTAAGCTAAACGGAAAAACTTACGGGTGAAGGAAGTGTTCAAAAAGCCAAGCCCGGAGAATTGAGACTGAATTTTCAGGTAGTCCCCTCTGTGGCCTCCAAGCATTTTGCTGTAGCATACCATACTGTTGGAAAGCTCGCTGTTGCCTTATTTGCTGATCGATATAGCGAAGGCGAGTTAGTTTGCCCTCTTTGCCAGATGTATTGTCATCCACCCCAAGTTTCTTCCGGATAACACTAATTTGATCATTGATAGCATCCTTTAGACATCGGAAATGCCGTGAGATTGTCTGGAGGGCAACTGCAGTATAAGGCTTGGCAGCTCCAGAACCAGCAACCATATGGAACGATGACATTACAAGTTGCATCTGATGATAATAGTGTTTGTACTTTCGATCCACCTGAAAGCAAATTTCAATTTGATCTTAAAAATTCGGACATACCAGATACCGCATTAGCGAAACAATCAAAACACACCTAGCTCATTCATCTGATCGATCCCATGTTAAGACCATTTTTTTCTTGCTGAGGAAAAAATTATTTATGCACCCATCTGACATTTTAATGGGGTAACATGACTTTCTGCATTTGGTGGTGATCTGGTCCTGAATAGTTTTGTGGATACAGCTGTTCCTATTCCAAATATGCTCATTGCTTGTTTGGAGGACCTTTAGTTAAAAAACATGCTATCTATAGGTTCAAGCCTTGTTAAATGGCTATGATCATATTATTAAGAAGGTTAGACTCACCTAAACTAACAACTTTTGACCAGTCCTCCCAGCTTTTTCAAGAACTCAACTCGTGAAGCTCATGGAGCTGAACCATTGTAAATGACCTTTGGATCAGGAACCAACTATTGGACTCAGTATTTAGGCCACAACTCAAACAGAACTGATGGGGTTGGGATTCCTCAAGTATTTTTCTAAGAACAGAAGGCAGAAAATGGAGTTGACTTCTGACATATGAGAAAAATTAATATGCAGTCGTCCCTAGATAAAGTATTAGTTTATCAAAATTCATATTAGAATATCAAAATGATTATAGGTGAAACTAATCTTTGCAAACAAGTCTATCGATCTTCACGCGGATTACCTCTACACTCGACAGTGACAAATCTAGCAAAAGCAAACGTTATAATACTGTAAGTTTGGTTTTTAATGGTAAGGTACAAGTACAATAGAACACACACCTCGTCCAACATTGCCATAAGTTTCACCATCTTATTCTGGAGCTCTTGTTTCTCAGCAGTCGAAAGCTCAGCTGCTGCATTGGCATCAGACTCTTGTGGATCGGAAGATACTCCCTCACTTTTAGTCCCCCCATCAGTCTCTTTTCCATCTGCCTTTCCTGCTTCAGCAGGGCCTTTATCTGTTTCCTGTTTAACACTCTTCCAAACACTGACAATCTCATCAAGCAACTCCTGTGCTGCCTTCAGATACTTAGAGTTCTGGATTGCCTGTGAGGCCTCAGACTGCATATTCTTCATTCTGTTGTCATCACCCTGGTAATAATTTGGTGTCAGTAAATCTTGCTTTGCAGACCAGTATGGATAGGAAGGCGCCAAGATATGCGTATTGAGGCTCAGAGACAGCCCTTGGCCTGGTGCTGATGGAACACTTGAGTTGTGGTTGTTTAACATGCCAAACTCGAGCTGTGCAGTGCTATGGGCATCATTGTGGATGAGATCACTGCCACTGCTGTGTGCACCATCCATCAAATGCATCAACATCTCATTTCTCATATCTTTCAAAGGACCAAAAGAGCGCTGCTCTGTGAGTGAAGTGCCCATGTTAGTAGCTTCATTGGATGATGAATCATGCGACATTGCTGAAGGATGACCAGTAAGTTCCATGAAATTCTGCTGAGGCTGGACAATTCCACTAAATTCTGTATAAGGTCCAGAAGATGCATTGTTCGGATAAAGGAAGTTCCCAAGGGCTGATGGCACGGGATATGATGCATTGCCTGACTCTGTTGAGTACATTGTTTGTGAATCTCTTTCACTGCCAGGGCTCGAGTAATAAGTAGCCATATCCCAGCTTTGACTACTCAGTTGTAAAGATTAGTGCAAAGGCATAGGCAAGTGTGGATAAGCAATTACAGAGCCCTCGGAACCAATATTTCTGCTGACTTGCCTGCACTTTGGGAAATGGAAACAGTTAGAACAAAATTCACTAAATTATTAAAGAACTATTCTGTAAATATACAGCAATATAGCAGATGACAAAACAGAAGTTTCATTTGCTGTAAAATAATATGGAAAGGCCTCCAAGAAAAGGTAGGGTGAAAGAGCTAAACCATAAACTGGTCCTGCCACTTTTACAGAGGTAAAATCATCAAAGAGACAAAGACTGCACACAAAGGCCAGTCACTAGTGTGAGACCCAGGGCTAGACCCTCAGTTTTGGCAGTAGTTATCACTTCTTGTTCTTTTCTCTAACATTTCTGGAGAACAAACAGACCCCATGTTCATCATATGGAAAGATATAACTGACAAGGTAAGACACTGGTTTGGGACCTATAGGTGGTACAGGTGGTCCTTCATCCATGACATTAGCTAAGTTGTTGCCTTTCTGCTCTCCCTTACAAAGAGGATGAGAATGTAGTTGAGAATTCCTTCTGTTTCACCAAAATAATGCAGCCATTCAAGGCGCCCAACGAAGGGCGGGCCTGGTGCAAGCGGTAGAGTCTTACCGCCTGTGACCGGAAGGTCCGGGGTTCGAGTCGCGGTCTCCTCGCATCGCACAGGCGAGGGTAAGGCTTGCCACTGACACCCTTCCCCAGACCCCGCACAGAGCGGGAGCTCTCTGCACTGGGTACGCCCCTTTATTCAAGGGGCCCAACCAGAAATTCGATTCTATAACACAGGCAAATTGCAAGATTGCTGACAAAATTTGATTTCGAGGAGGGAAAGTTTTCTGAACAAGACATGCTTGTAAGATATCAATACCTTTTTCAATCACTTGGCTTATGACTGAAGTGCGTGCTAGGCTTATTAGAGCCCCTTCACCAGCTCGGCGCGCTAATAGAATGAATCCTTCTGCAGAATCACTCTGAAAGAAGAGATGAAATAGCATGAGATCTCTAGCTCGAAATTACCTAGAAGAGACGGGGATGCTTCACTGGTCGTTTGCAGCTGTAATTTTCACTTTTTTAATGATATGAAAGAGGTGGAGCCAGGAGAAATGTCCTAGGCAAAACTTTGTTTTCACAGACAATGAAAATAAGAGAGCACTTCAGCTCGGACAAAAAAAGGAGCTAATAATTCCATCACATAAAGTATATAGAGAGAGTAATTAAGGGAGTAACACAACACAAGAGCCACCTCCATAAAAGAAATGAGGAGAATGATCGGAAGAAAAGAAAAGGAACCGTGCTTTAAGAGCATGGCTTTCATGCAGGCATCCAAGGAGATAAAAAGAAAAGATTCAAGAATCCGCAGCAAATCCAAAAGGGCTCCACCGCAATCAAGCTCAATTCTATCATACCCACAAAAAGAAACCTCTACCGGTAGCTGACGAAGCAACTAGAAACTCAGAACTGTGCAATATCAAACGGCAATAATCAAGCTACCAAGCACCACCAAGACATGCAGAATTCAAGAAATTAAGCAAGAATTCTGAGCCCAGGTGAAGAAGAGGGGATGATTTCTCCGAACACTCACATAAAAAAATCAAGAATTTTGAGGTCGGAAGGTAAATGAGGACCATGAATTCAGCAGCCTGAGCTCAGTACCTGCACTTCCACAAGAAAGGCAACTCAACACAACCGCAAGAACCCCAAGCCGCAGGAATTTCCCGATGAAGCTCTAAAAACTACAGATCCCCAAGCCAACTCAAGAACCCACCAAGAAACTTCACAATTCAGAGGGACCAGGTACCCCCCCAAAGCCCTCAAGAATCAAGAAAACCCTGTGCTCTAGCACAAGCAGCATATAATTGAGAGGAGACCAACCAATCATTGGGGTCATAACAGCACCCATGGGAACCAAAAGGATTGGTTGCACCCACCGAAATCGGACGAGCGACAATTCTAGAAGCAGAGAAGAGCAAGAGCCGGCGCAAGCAAGCCGAATCATAAATCATGTAACCGGGGAATATGAGGCAAAAGAATTTCTGTCACTGCTGCTGGTGCTGCAACCAACAGGCAGGAGCCAATGATGCGAAGGCGATTGATTAAGCAATAGGAAAATGGAGGCAGACCTGATGGTGTGCTCCTCGTGGGGAGCATGGCAAGACGGCAGGGATTGCTGTCACCAGACCCGAGCCGACGGTCAGCCTTGGAAGGAGGGGCGGTGACCGGTGAGGCGAGGAGTTGAGAGGAGAGAAGAAGAGAGGAGAAAGAAACCCAACCCCCTCCCTCCGTCCCAGTATGGGGACAAAATCAGATCCCAAGATAACAATACCAAAAGGAAAAGAAGAGGAGAGAGCTCCTCTCTCTCTCGGCTCTACTTCTTCTTCTTCTTCTTCTTCCTCCTTCCTGCCCCCAGAATAAAAAAATTCCTGCACCACCCACTAGCTGCAACAAACAACAGCACCCAATATAAAAATAATTGGAGGGCCTGCTAGAGAAAAGCTGTTTCTCCCCTCCTCCATCTTTGATTATTGTTGCTGCTGGACTGCTGGTGTTGGTTGATTATCGTCGTGGAGGATTATTGGGTGGGGTTGGGGGGTTTGCGGGGTTTAAACCTACTCAACTTGGGCAGGTTAGATGGAGGGACTTGGCTGTGTGTCCACCACAACTTCCGGTTGCTTCTTTCTTCACGATAACGCGTACTGACATGGGCCGTTCTTATTCGCCATACGCATTGCCGAAACCCCCAATTATGCGGCTATTCTATTGGTCATAGGTGAGTACGCATAAAATTAAAGCTTGTGGTGTACCAACTCAACCTTTTTGTTAGCTCCTCCTCCTCTCGGGTACATCACCATTCACCTCAGCTGCTATACTAGTCCTAGTTTAATGCTGTACATGAAGCATCATCTTCGTCTAGTAAAGCTCAAAATTATCCAAGTTTAATGCTGTACAAGTAGTATCATCATCTATAGTAAAGCTCAAAATGATCATAGGAAAAGGAGAAGAGATTACCTAGCGAAGAATTACCATCTTTTCTGAATTATTAAGGAGAGATTTGGCATGTGAATTCGATAAATTGGAGTTGGAGCCAGATGTGACATTTGCTTTTTATATAATATACCTTGGATCGTCAATAATCCAACAATACTCCGTGCTCTGCCAAAGTGGCGCTCGTTTATCGCCGGCGCCAAAACCGCATCCAGTCCGCCCCCCTGTGACCGGAATGCCGCCGTGGGCCAATGGCATCCAATCCAACCGTGACACTTTCTGACCCCCTCTGCACGGAACTCCTAGCCAGCTTGAATAATTGGAGCCCTCTTCTTCATTCTTCCCCCAATTGGACCCCTACGCTCCTGACCGGACGGTTGATGCAAACGCGCCAACGTCTTCCTGCACGTGCTCAGCGACCGACGCTGCAGGTTCGCAACTACAGAGATCTCACGGTCACGGATTTTGTTGGGACTGCTTGACAAGCTGCAGATTTCCGAGGAATCAATCAATCAAAATTTCCTGTGTACCTGCACTCGGGGCCTCCGACCTCCAGCGGCACCCGCGGACGCAAAAGGGACCAAGGGCATGTGACGCGTCCCCGCGGTGATGCTTCGCCGGAGCCCGGAGCAGTGGCCAGGTCGACCGACGGGAGCCGCTTGGCCGCGATGGGGTCTGGTCGGCTCCCAGCATTGCGCTGAACGCCTGAACGGGATCGTGGGAGTGGAGTGGAGCACTCCCCGCCTTGTCGCTTGTGTATGGCATGTCGTCCGGAGGGACGCGGACAACGTGAGAGCCCTGCGTCCGGCGAGGGGATCACGCCGACGGCCGCGACGGGAAGGTGAGTGAGATGGGATCAAGGACACGAGCACACGGCGCCGCGCCGCCTCGGCCTCTGTTTCGGGTTGGGGCGTGGGCGTCGTGCCATGTGGTCGAGCCGGACCATTTCGCGGGCCGCTGGGTGTGCTTGGGATTTTCTGTACTCTGCCTGAGTGTGCTTCTCGTGAACATCCAAAAATCATATCATACGGAACATAACGGAATAATGGCCTTTGTTGTTTTGCTGTAGCTCAATCTCGTGAAATTACCGTTCAAAAAAAAAACTCGTGAAATTTATTAGGACAGGCTAGTGGTATTTTACTATTTTTCATAGCACTAAAATCGTACTTCCTCCATTTTTCAAATTATAGTTTTTTTTAATAAGTCACAAATCGCATTTCCCTGATTTTAATCAAGATTTTAGAGAATCAATTTTACATCTCCGTGTCCAAATAAATGCATTAGCAAAACACTCTCGATGGAGAATTTGATGAAGCTAGTTTCATATTTCAGATATTGATGTATTTTTTTAAAAAAATTAAAATTAGAGAAGTTTGAATTAAAGGTAATGGATTAGTAGTAGTGTAGAGTCCGTTTTTATTCCTCGTGGAAATAATCAGAGTTAAATAGCATGTCCGGATCGCAAGTTGAGAAGTGCACTTTTTAGAACATCATCCACAATTTCAAATGCTTGTGCACGTGATCGCTAAAAGGACATCTTTTTTCCGAACACGACATCAACTCGCATCAACATACGAAGAAAATCGTTATAATTAGGCAGAAACGCCGCCGTAGGTGGAAAAAGGCTGGTTCGCGCCGCGCCTGCTAAATTTCCACCCGCTTATTCGTCCCAACAATTAATGGCGTCTGCGCCCACGATTCGGCGACATCTAGCGCCGAGATACGCAGGATCAGCGAATCGATCGACAAAGACATGGGCATGGGATTTATCGCATGTGGCATCCAACTCCCCCATGACAAACACTCCAGTGTGCAGCGGTGGGGGACCTCAAAATCTCCGCAAATGCTACGCTCACAAGTCACAAGACATTTGAGAAAGAATTGTAAAGCTATATATTTCTCCCTCCTTTGAATTAGGAGTGTATATAAGGTCTTTTTTAGTTTCATGATTTCTTTAGGACAAGTCTTT